AAAATTGCAGTAGAAAGAAGAATCATGGATCACCCTGTGTATGATTGTTACCTTGATTGTGCATCAAGGTACTTTTACTCTTTTCTGCTGATTTTCATGAGAGCCTTATGGAAAGCTTCTATGAGTCAGATGCATTATGTTTGAGTTATCTTCACATGGATCTTGTTTTGGCTCTGGTTGTTCACTTCATTTGGTTCCCATATGGAACACCACTCCTTTTATGTTAACTGTCAATCTCCTTAGACTATGCTAAAACTGTTGTGCTGCTCTATTTATGTACAGTATGCCGCTCTCATCAGTTACATCAGTCTCCTTATGTAAAATGTCAGTTATAAAGTCAAATAATGCTTAAGAATTATGGTCTGACAAATAGTTGATCATTTATTTTGTGAATGCTGAGTGTGTTATCAGTAAATATTGTCAGTGTGGGTATGTATACGACTGTGTGTTTGGAGCTGGGCCATGTCCGGAGCCTGAGACATACTAATGACAGGGACTCCAGTGTTGTGTTTTACCAGCTCAACTGTTCTCATTAAACGAGAGCCTCTGTGTAGCGCAGCTCGCCTCATTAATGGACTATAGCCATGTGCTGCTGCAGATGCATGCACTCATTCATTCAAGCACATACAACCCGGGTCAGAGTTTGTAGGAGGGGTTGCACAAAAAACACCCCCCCTACATCCTACTCATTGTGCACTGCTTTATAAAGTTCCTCTTTACTGTTCTACCAGCTAATACACATGTTCATACATATATGCAAACACGCATTTGTTGAAGAATCACCATCTTGAATACCAAGTGTACCTGGCCTGGTGAGAGGCATGTACCATCTAGACCCCACTTCTCAATACTATCCAATCACTTTCACAAATTCTGTCCTTTCACAGACGTATGTAAATGTGATTGTGTAAGTGTATTTGTGGACACATGTAGCAGTGTGTGTGGCAGCCCCTCCTGATTATAGCTGCTCCATAATTAACAGTGATCAGATTTGTTTTGTGGCATAAATGGTGCATGTGTAGAACATTAGGCCTGGCAAGTCTCATTTCACATTCAGCTCAAGGGCTCGGCAGCAGACGGGTCACGAGCTTCAGGGAGCACAATCACAAGCCTCGCTCCATATGGTCCTGCCTGCCGCATCCTCACCAGTGAGGGCCGCGAGCGCCAGACAAGTTCCCCCAAGAACCTAATCGTGTTCAGTAATTACCAAGACCGGCTTTTCTTTTTTTTCCCCCTTGCTTCCCTCACACTCCCCACTCTTTTTTTTTTTTTCACTGCACCTGCATGCTCTCTTCTTCTCTTTCAGCCTCATGTGCTCTCCCCAGCCATTACTTTAACTAAACTTGTAATATGTTTATTTTTTTCCCTTTTACATCTTTTTACTGTCTCACAGTTTCCCTGGTTTTTCAGTTTTTTGTTAGGTGAAAATCAGGATGGAGATGAAAGAAATTGTGAGAGACGAAAAAACAGACACTCTCACATCAGTTAATTCTAAATTGCTTTATATGGCTGATGCTGAAAAACCTGTTCTGTCCTCTAGACTGCCTAGAAATTATAAATAATTGTAACAGATGTGCCAATATGGCCGGCCTCCAATAAACGAGGCCCCAGATAATTTGACCAACCCCCTTTGACAGGCCAATTTAATAAAACATGAACAAAATCTTCCTCACTAATAATTTATCATCCCCTCTCCTCCCCTTTGGTTAAAGTTGATTACCCTGGCAGTTAACAAGGTCACACCCAGATGCCAGGTTTCTGATAATGCAATCAGGACTCACTGGAAAAAAGGTGATGACATCCTGTGCAGTTTTCTTCAGTACCTGGCCTCCTAGTAAGGCACAGTTGTGAAGGCCTCTGTCTAAAGGCTTTGATGTGTTAAGTAGAAGTGTTGTTGGTAGCCGCAGGTGAAGCTGTTTTTCTTTTTTCTTTTTTTAGTGTTTCACACTTTTTTTTTTAAGGTTTTAAGAAAAAAAGGTGTGAGTATATGGAGTTGGGTAATTGAGTTGAGAGAAATGTGGGTGAGTGTTATCAAGTTAAAGGACCCAGAAATCAACTAAGCATACTGTATATAGTTTTTTTTTTTTTTTTTTTTTTAGCATATCAGTGAATATCTAGTCCATGTTTTATGTTTGTGTGCATGTTGTACATAGCCGTAGGTGTCCATGTTGTAACGAGATATTTCGACTGCCAGGTCCATCACCTGTAACTTGAAGCAGCATCATATGCATTTCGTCGTGTGTCGTCCATGATGAGGGTGTGTGCATGGAGCGACAAAAGTAGCGGCTTATAGTCCGGAAAGTACAGTATATAGAGGAGTGTTTGTGTCTTTAAGTCAAAGTAATCATTAAATTTTAAAGTATCTTTTTCTGATCAGCTACAACATTAAAACTACTCGGTTAATATTGTGTCGGGCCCCCTCAAGCTACCAAAATAGCTCTTGTCTGATGAGGCATAGTCTAATATATATCATACTCTAATATATCCCACCCTGTGACAGGTGCCATCATAATGAGATAACCTATGTTATTCTCTTGACCTGCCAGTGGTTTTAATGTTGTGGCTGATTAGGGTACTATATATAACAGCAGTGGTGTGAAGTATGTAGATTTAAGTAACTTAGACATTTTAAAATCAATTCTTGCATGGCTTTGTAACAGCGGTGTACATATGAATGCGTGTGTGTGCTTCACAGCTCGCTCCTCTGTGGGTAGGCCCTTTGCTTTATCTTTGTCCCCTTCAGTTTGTTTTGTCCTCACTGTGTGCTGAGGTGTGCAGATGCTGCAAGACACTGACTAATAGACACTGATAAATACTGTAGATGGGTCATGACAACACACACACACACACACACACACACACACACACACACACACACACAGAGCCCTCTCACTGCCACATGACACATCTGTTTGTTGAATTTAGCTAAAGGAAACTTAATGTAGACATCCAG